ACAAATATTTATAAAAAATAATATAAATTCTAAATATTTTCAGTATATAGAAATTAGGTTCACATCTCCTGTAAACAGCTCATTGTTAGCATGATAAAATAAAAACAAGACAATGACACTGTAGTAAAATAAAGCTAAATAACAATACCCCCATATGAATATAAACAGGAGAATCCTGGTCCACATAGTATCAAGTTAACTCTAATAACCCATAAAAGATAATGCTTCATCATCAAGAACAAGTTGGCTCAACAGGCAAATTCCGTCAGTATTTTCATTCTTGCAATGGGCAAAATAAATAAAATCATATGAGCTTCTCACTAAACAAATGAAAATCTATCACAACATTCGGTATTCTTTTATGGTAAAAAATATGTCAGCAAACTGAAAATAGAAAGAAACATTTATATTTGCTAGAGAACATTTACAAAATAGCCTACACTTGTACAACACACATTGGTGAAGGACTGAATACTTCTCTCTGAAAATGAAAAAAAGCCAAGAATATCTGTCCTGCCTCTTTTTTGTTTTCTTTCTCTTTTTAAACACAGCAGCTCATTATGGAATTCAGGCTGGCCTTGAACACACTTTGTAGTCCAGGTAGGCCTCAAACTTAGTCATCTTCCTGCCTCAGCCTCCCCAGTGCTGAGATAACAAGTATGCACCACCAAGCCTTGCTGTGCCTGCCATTTCCATTCACCATTTTTAAACAAAGTTCCTGGTCAGAGTAGCAAAGTAAGAACAAGATACAACAGCATCCAACATGGAGGAGAAATGAAGCTATTTCTATGCACGCAGAACAAGCAGGTTGAACAGAACAAAATAAACTCTAGAATAAATAAATTCACCAAAGTCTGCAGCAGTGCTAACTTACCAATATTCTACATGTGATTTCCGTATAGAGTTGTCGGGAAGAATCTAGAATTCATGTAGAATTGCCAGAGGCTATTCAGGAAGAAGAAATGCAAAGTTAATGAACTGAAACCTTCTGATCACAGAAGGTTATAGTGGTAAAGTCACTGCTACTGAGAGAAAGATAGAATAAAGTACTCAGGAATAGAGCCACACAACTACCATGAACTGACTTTGACAAAGGCAGAGAATTTGCGGAAGAAAGGATAATGCTTGAAATAAATATTGAAAGTATTGGATGTCTATACCAAAAGGATTTTGAAAAGAAAAACTTGAACCGTACCTTAAACTCTTGCAAAAAAAAATCTCAAATGAGATCATAGGCATAAATATAAAATCCAAAACTCTGAAACTTCTAAAACACAAGATCTTGATTTAGACAAAGGTCTGTTATATATGACACCAAAAAACACATCAATAAAAATTATAAATTTCATTTCATTGGAATTAAGCACCTGATTTTCAAAGGATACCTTTAAGTGAGTGACAATAACAAGACACATACTAGAAAGTAGTTTTAGTTCATGTATCCTGTGTGGGGCCTGTATCCAAACTATATGTATAAAAACTCAAAACTCGATTATAATAAAATGATAAACTAAATATAAGTAGTAAAAATTTTTGAAGAAACACTTCAGCGCACAAAATATACAGATTGCAAATATAACAAATCACACAAGCAAAAAGGGTCAACAGAATCATAAGGAAAATGCAAATTAAACTCCACTAAAAATCTGTTAGAAGCCCAACTCTTCCATGTGACAATACTGTGGCAGATAATGTCTCTCACAGTTGTCTCATACTAGTCCCCAAAACTATGGATACATTAACTCCAACTGGCATATAACTAAAATTTTCTCAACCAGAGGCAAAGTCTAAATGCATCTCTAGACTTTGGGTTTGGCTCTGACTTGCCTTAACCCAGGACATCTTCATGGGTGTGATATGGTGAAAGACCCAAATGACAGCTCATCTTGGGCTTTCAGGCCTGTGGCGTCACCATGAAAAGAACTTGCTATTCCTAGCCTACTAGTGTCCAGAAGAAGAAAATAGACTTGTTGAACAGATTTCTACCCCAATTGGCCAATCCTCAGTCAATCCACAGGGATAAATGTTAGTTTTAATTAACTTAGTTTGGGAGTCCTTTGCTCTACAGTATAGCTGCAGTTGGCTAATAATGATGAGTAGGCAAGGATTTAAATGAAATGATTATTATGGGACACAATGCATTGTGGTTGAGCAAGAAATCGCATATTAGAAGCCTGCATCTACTTGTTATTAGGCCATAAACACACTTTTAAACTCTCTTAGCCTTTGTTTCTTTGTTAAATTGGATGCTTTCATATAATTATGTGAATAATAGGTCTAGTGCAATATACCTAGAAAATAATGCAATTTTTATGAATAAAAATATAACTATATTGGAAGGATTTAAAATGACCCAGAAAGGCCTCGAGATGCCATCAATTCTATGAATAGGTAAGAGGGGAACAAGAGTTTATTGACTTAACTTCAAATTGGATTTCTGAGTGACTCCCAGGTGGAATGTCAGAACAGATCTCCCCTAATGCAGGGTAATGAGAAGTCACTTCATGCGTCAATCTTCTTGAAAACTAAGACAGTAGATCAAGTGTGACAAGTGCCCCCTCAAAGCTGAAGGCACTGACTGTGGTAGCCACTGCCCAACAGCATAGCAATGTGCCGTTTCACTCTCAGGCTGCCCTTTAGGCATAAATGGAAGGACTCTGGCTTTCTCAATGAAGTGTTACCCAAAATGCAACCTTTGGCACAATACTTTCTTGGAATGTTACTCAATGTGTTCTCAGAACTATTTACTTAGTCCTATATTTAAAGTTGTTTTAAAACTTTTGAACTGATCAAAGATTTATCTTTAACCTAGTCATACATTCCTGTGAATCTCCAGAAAAGTATAATAAAGGCTATATCTATATAGATACATATATATCGTACAGCATAATCTACCCTTGCTGAATATGAAAACTTTTTTCTATAGTGTATCTTATGGTACTGTGACTTTGAGAACGTATTTAGCCAAGCACTAGGACAGTCAGTAAAACCTAGGTTTAAAAAAAATGTTCAATTCTCTCAATAGGCACCAAACACAGTAATAGTCAGTAGAGAAATAAATTTGAATTGTTCCTATCATTATGAGAAAGCCAATAATCAGTGGCCGTAGGGCCTGGAAAAAAACCAGAAGTGTGATGAAAATTAGGCAGAGTTTTGAGACTATTGGGTGTAACGTCTATCCAAGGTCAAAAGCGAGTCTTGAAAAGATTGATTTCTTCCCAAATCATTCAACTGCACCTCAGAACAAATCTCAATTGTAGTTATACAAATACAGAACAAAATTTGCAATAGTTCATTCACCTACAAGGCATGTAAAGGAGCAAAAATCATAACCCTGAGTGAGGAAAAAAAAAATCAGCTGCTAAAATCAAATATGGAAATCAGTCAAGTGGTACAACTAGCAAATAAGGACATCAAAAAATTAAATGATTTTATCCTATATATTCAAGAAGGCAGAAGGATGCTTCAACCTGAAAATATTAAAACAAATCAAATCCAACTTTCAGTAATATCTAAAATGAAAAATTCACTAGATAGAATTAAAAGTCTGCCTAGAACTTCAGAACAACAACAATAACAAATATTGTATGTTAAATCTATCCAAAGTAAAATTCTGAGAGAAAAAGATTAAGAAAAAATCAACTGGAAAAAAATGTGCTGTAACATAAAATGTATAACTGAAGGCTCTATAAAAGAAGGAAAATTAGGAAAAAGATAACATTGTGAAAAAGGAACTAACAGAATGATGATAGAGTTTTCATTCAGTACAATGCATGCTGGAAAATAGTGGTGCAACATCTTTGAAGTACTCAGAAAAAAGCCAACCTAAGTCTATACCCAGGAAAAACATATTTCAAAATTAAAGTTTTTCTATGCAATACATGAGGGCATTTATCACCACTAGACTTACACCTGAGAAATGTTCAAAGAAGTCCTTTGGACAGAAAGGAAAAGGAAATTAATCTCCAAGAAATAATGACAAGAAATAGAAACCTTCCAAAGGGCTAGCCAATAGCTTGGTAAGGGTAGGGGAGGTTGGGAATGTTTGTTGTTGTTTTTGTTATTCTTGTTCTTGTAGTTTTTGTTTTGTTGGTTGTTTTTTTTTTTTTTTTTTTTTTTTTTTTTTTGTACCAAGAATCAAACTCACAACCTCATGCTGTGCCATTGAGCCATGAAAGCAGGATGCTAAAGTGGTCCAGACATTGCCTTTATCTCTGCCCTACCAGGAGGGGCACAGTCTTCTAACAGCAAGCCAGCTAGCACTGAACTTATCTACTGATGAGTATAGCGTGCCCATGATTCAATCCCCTTCCAAATGCATAAGGGTTTGGGGAAACACACCAGATCAAAACCTAACATTCCATCTCTGGCTCCACAAATACTCATCTCTTATACAAAATACATTTAGTACATCTGTAAGAGCAGCCAAAGTGTTTACAGTTTCAGTATTACTGAAAAATCCAAATCTAAATTCTCCTGAGACTCAAGGCAAACCTTTAGCTGTAACTCCCTGTAAAAGAGAGAGAGAGAGAGAGAGAGTTAGTTAAACACTTCCAACACACAGTGGCACATGGTAAGTATTTCAATTGCAAAATGGAGAAACGGAATGGAAGGGAATCAGGCCAAAGCATAACTGAAGCCCAGCAAGGCAAACATTAAGTTCTGTTATTCTATGTCCAACACCCAAGGCAAGTCACAGTGGGATGGAATTCCAAAAGTTTTGGGCACACAATCCCTACAGCATGTCTATCTGTCAGTCTTCCCCCTACCCCCCCACCCCCACTTTCCCTCTCCAAATATTTATTGTTGTTTTAAATGTTTATTGTTGATCCATTAGTGCTGATCACAAAAATGGTTAAGATTCCTGATTCAATGTGCTTATCTGTACAGCCAAAGGTATTTTTTAACCTTGATATGGCGATATAATCTTGACCATTGTAAACAAGTATTACTTTGTGATCTCTAATGGGGTAAATGTTCTATGGCTTATGTGCAATTCCTTACAGTCCTTGCTTGGTCCTCCTCCAGTGTCTCCTCTTTGAGTTGTACTTAATTTTATACCCAGTCTTCATCTGTATCCATTGAGGAATGGAATGATTCTGCTTTTGCTTCTTCATCAGGAATTGTTTGATTCTGAAAGTCTTGTGAGAAATCATGCTAGGCTCAGAGGCAAGAGTATGCATTCATGGTGAACAGAAGCAGTCTAAAAGAAAGGGCATCTTAGACTGGCCTATTAGACTGGCTCTACTCACTGTCTGTGTTATTTCTCAGTAGACACTTCACATTATTGACATTTCCACCTTCTTGGAATCTCCAATGTACTTGTGGCTTCATGCTTAGAACTTTGCTCACTGCCCTCTCAGGGACACACTGGCTGACCTCCCAGGTCTGAAATCTGGGTAGAAACCTCCCTCGTCATAGCTCTTACATTCTATAGGCTTATAAAAATAGCCAGTCTTCCACCAGCTCAAGCAGTTCTTGGGTCCCCTTGGGTCATGACTGCAGCAGCCTCTGTATAACTGGATGACTGATTACTATGAAATAAATCCCCAAGAATCCCTTTTCCAGAAAGGCACTCCGTATCTCTCTCCTCAAAACAAAGTCTTATAAACTAGTTTACTTTTATCATTTTGTACCCTTGGACCAGTTAAAAATTGGATCATGCTGATTTCTGAGATGAACTCAAGGTATCTATCCCAAATGCTGATGCAAAGTACTTGGTATCTCTTTAACGCTAATCTTTTCAGGTCTTCTTTACCCCAACTCTGTAGGCACTTCCTTTCTGTTGAAACTGCAAACATGTTAAATAGGCTTTTTGTTCCTGATTCTTTCTGTAAATATGGCTGAAAATAGACAGATGTACCCATATTATATTCTGAATATTTGAATGCCTTGAAAATCTTCTGCCAGATTAGTTAGTCCACTGCCCTTAGGCTCAGTCTCCCCAAAGTGTCAGCTTGGGCAAAGTATCAACATGGGCAAAATGTAGACAATTTTTTCCCAGAACATAACGTAGGTGGTTTCAAGTTGAATTAGCAAGAGTCCTTGTTCCCAACTGAAAACTCCTGACCTAATTTTAATGTTCATATTTCTATCAGCATTCCAATCTTCTGAGATCTGAGGAGAATCACAATCTTTGTTTACCCTGCATATATCATTCTCTGATCTTTCCAAGGTTTTCCACAAGCCAGGTCCAAAAATTTCTAAATCACATGGTCAGGCAGAATCATGGCAGTGACAACACAGCTGGTATCAACCCTGTCTTAGTCACTTTTTCTGGCACACAATATCTGACACCTACAACTTAAAAGAAGAGAGGTTTCTTTTACTTCACTGTTTCAGAAGCATTAGTTTACAATTGTTAAGCTCAAATGTGGAAATGGCATGGTGGTAAGGCTTTAAACCTGCACCTGTCATGGCAGCTAGGAAGCAGAGAGGAAAGGGAAGAGCCAGGGAGGGAGATACACCCCTTCAGGTCACTCCCATTGATCCACCTCTCCTAACCAGGATTCGTCTTCTGACAGCAAATCAGCCATGAACTCATCAGTGGAATAGTCCACTGATAGAATAATCCACTGATGAGTACAGCATCCCCATGATCCAAGCATGGGGTTTTGGGAGATACCCTACATCTATACCATAACAATAAAGAAAGGCTGGAAATATTTGGAGAAGCAAAATTAGAAACACTTGTAGCAGATGCACTAACATCTCTGAACCTGGGTTCTCCCATTTACAGAAAATATATCATAATATCTACTTAGACGTATTTTTAAAGGATTAAATGGCACTTTCAGCTGGCACCATGTGAGGCTCACACAAGTGTGGCAAATGTTGGTGTATTTCTTTTTACATCCTGTCAAATAGAGATGGCCACAAAGTAGGTCACTAGACCATGTCTGTGGCATCAACCAGAACAAAGAAAGGGCATAAAGTTCTAGAGCACATTGTTCTGAGAGGATCTTCACTGAGATGTGGAACACAAAGGACTCATGTCATTACTGGGCATAGGAAGCAGCTCGTGTCAATGGCAATTGGTATATAATTTACATTTTATAGCAAACAATAGATCTCACCAATAATTCACCTCTGTGAAATCTTCAGAGAAATGACTGAGCCAGTCCAAGTAATGATAATTTCAAGAGCAGAGGAGAGAGTAAGCACCATTCGCAGACTGCAGAGGGAGAGAACCAGACCCTACAGGGAGAATATCCCCACCCTGAAACCAGCGCCACATGTGGGCTGCTGCTGGCTTGGGGAGAGCCAGGCCCAAGCTCTCTCTGTGAGTCAGCACAGTTCACAGACTGCAGCAGGAGGAAACCAGGCCCTCAAACAGGAGATTCCCGCTGGGAAACCATATCATTTTCATTTTTCTGTTGGGTTGAGTTTTATTTTGTTTTGTTTATATTAACTCTCATGGCATAAGCAGCTATTTAAAAGATAGCAAGACATATTATGGAAGCCATTCTGTATTTACTACTGGCTTGTTTGATGTCCTTTATGGCATTCATTGTTTTGTTTTTATTGTTTCTATTCCATTCTGTTAGATTTTTAATATGTCTGAAGGTGATATCTGCAGCTATTTTGAAGACAACAAAGGCATTATGATGACTATTATTGATTTTATAAGGTTTGGAAGTCCTGTGTCACTTATTCTGGTTTATTTTGATTGATTTTATTCAGTTTTATTTTCCTTGGTTTTATCCTCTTTAAAATAAAAAAAAAAGAGTGGAGGAGAATATTTATACATTCTTACAATTGGCTCATAATGACCAATATGATTGCAACATTGACTATTTAAATTGTTTGCAAAGAAGTGTCACAAAGGTCAGATAAAGGTGTCATGTCTGCTTAGTACAACTAATGCAATATTTAATTAGTAATGACCAGAATCTGATCTGTATGCAGCATGCAAGCCATTGCCATGCACTTCTCTTACTAAGCAAGCTCAAATGTTTTCGCTTTTTTCTGTTTTTGTTGTACTGGAGTACAACCATCACAGTGAGTTATTTTACTAGCTGTCATTTTATTTTGTTTTATTGTTTTGGAGACATAGTCTCTCTAATTCGCTAAGTTGCCCAGGCTGGGCCCAAACTTATAGTCTCTGGTCTCAGTCTTCTAGAAGGCTAGGATTACAAGAATATACCACTATCTTGTGCTATCAAAGAATATACCACTATCTTGTGCTATCAAAAGTTTTTTGAAAAGAAAATCAATTTAGGAAATCAAATTCAACTTTTATAGAAACTCACAGATTTCTTTGATGAAACTATGGTTTTGCTCAAGACATATTTTTAACATCTCATTCGCTTATACTCTGATTTCACTATATATAAGTGGATTATTCATGCAACTTTTGCTATGGAGTAAAATTATGTTCTGCTCCTTTTCACAAAATTATTTTCAGTTTCAATCAATCTAGATTCCTCTACCTGAGGACAGAGTGTCAACCAATCTCAGACCAAAAATAGTAAAAAAAAAAAAAAAAAAAAAACTTTATGTGAATATGCGCAGATTTTTTTGTCATTATTCCCTTAATAACATATGATAGCAATGATTTTGTTTTGTTTATATTAACTCTGATGGCATGAGCAGCTATTTAAAAGATAGCAAGACATATTATGGAAACCAACATTTGTGTTAAATTAGGTATAATTAGTAATCCAGAAGTAATATAAGGACGGATTATGTAGATGATATGCAAACATGGAGGAGGTGTAAGAATTTTCAACATACACATTTTGGTATCCACAAGAGTCACAGAACCAATACCCTATAAAAAAAAAGATGAATAATTGTGTGTCCATTCATTCATTAATAAATATTTCTTGAGTAAATTACTTTGTCTCCAAGGATGGTATATTAGTAACATTTTATTGCTGGGACAAATTAACCAATACCTACACTTTAAAGCGGGAGAGTTTTGTTTTGGGTTACTGTTTCAATCAAGGGGCATCTGACTCCAAGGTAGAAACACATAGAGGCCTGGTAGAGGAAAATATGGTCAACCCATGGCAAGAAACAGAGAGGGGCAAGGAGTTAGGGGAGAGATTATATCCTTCTGTGTTATACCCACAGTGACCCAACTCCAACAGCACAGTGCATTTAGCTCCTGAAATATCAATGAATGAGCACTGATTAGTACAGCACTGTCATGATCCAACCACCTTCCACACAGGACATTTTAGACCCATGTCATTACACATGGACAGATCAATAAGACATAGTCATGAGTTTGGGGAAGCCTGTAGTTGAATAAGATTAAGTTTCAATGGCAAGAGGCACATTCAAAGTGGATTTAAACACAGAAGAAACCATGGTGAATTATTCCTGGAAGTTCTGCACATCACCCATTTTCTTCTCAGCCCACCAACTCAGTAGTCACCATCTCTGATCTTGCTACAGAGGCAAGATCAGGCTGAGAACAGGCAGCAGGGATTCTGTGTCCATCGTGTTCCTATGAAAACTGTGTGGGCTAAAAAATGAAAACCTTTTAGCAGATCCAGGCAATTATCATGACTAAACTTAGAATAAGGAAAGAAGATGACCAGAGGGAGGAAGAGGGGACAGGGAAGATCTACCACAGGCAACTACTTTTGCGCCATTACCCACAAAAGACACAATGATTTCCCTATGTGCCACTCTGGTTTACAGAAGTTTTTCTTCACCAGTCATTTTATGTGGAGATAAAATGTATCCCCTCTTACAGTGCTTATAACACAAAAGAAATCGAAATAGCTATGAGTAAAGAAGTTATTCTCTTTAATCAAATGAGCAAAGTAGGCTAATTTTCTCAATGTGCTCTTGAGTGCTTTTGCACTTTTTAGTCTAATGGCTCTATTCTAAAACCTCTTTGTTTTTATGCCAGTATGTGAACTCAGAAATTGATTTAAATTCAATTAAGCCAGCATGTTTTGAGCAACCATTATGAGCTATGCACTGTTCTAGAAACAAGAGTCAGTTCTAAGTGTCAGCTGCTCTTGCTGAATATCACATGCGCTCTTAAAGATTACCACCTGGGAGTGAAGTTGTGCTGCAACAAATAAACTGCATTGCAATAAGTACAGTTTGATCAGTGCAGTAATAAAACCCTATTAACAGATATAAGTGACATAGACGGCGAGAAGTGACCATCGAAAATGTTGGAGGAGGATTT